GTCGCGCATCCTGTTGCAGCTTGCGCTTTACTCTGGCTACAGCTCCTCGCAGCTCGAGACGCTATTCAAGTTCGCGCCTTAGATGGAAAGAGACATGACACTGAATTATGAGATCATGAGTACATAGATATAATCATAGAAAAATAGTAATTTTTTATCATTAGAACTAGGCAATTCCCGTGATGTCTGAATTCTTAGCTCGACCTGCTAGGTGTATTGGCATAACCTTTCTAATAACGGCAGGCGGCTTTCCGATGCCAACAACCGTGTTCTCCTTCTCTACTTTCTCATGTAATCTCAGCTTCCGGTGCTGTTGCAAAACTGCCAAGGCAGTTCCCGCCGGACAGGGATCACATGTCCTTCTTCAAAGAGCTCTTCTGCAACTCAGCAACCTTTGCAAAGACCCGCTTTGTCTCGGCGCAGCTCTTGATAATGAGATAGAAGGGAATAATGATCCAAAAGGCATTGAAGAAGACGTAATAACACCAAAAGTAAAAGTCTTCAGGTCGACAGTATATCATTTTGGCAACGAGCTTGTCAAACGAGCACGTCGCAAAGTACAAGACATCGCCGTAGAGCTGCCCAAGACTTATGATGATCTGCAGTGGGTGGCGGAGGGGATGCCCGGTGACGATGAAGTATGTGCACACGAAGGACAGCGGACCCCAGCAGAATGCGGTAATGGTCTCCATGCAGACGATGAAGGAGTCCTGGGTCAGGTAGCGGGAGTCGGAGAGGGAGTATTCTTTCCAGAGCTGGCCGAATATGTGTAGGGATGCTGGCATGCTTGATTGATTGTATGAGAAGTAGCCTGATCGGGTGTTAGTCGAGGTGGTCCACACGACGGTCTAGGTTACAGGTAGGGGGTCGAGCATGGATGACTGACCTTCGAAGAAGAGATGGATAAAGGCGCTTAGAGTGAACCACAGTGCCGTGGCGACCTCGCCATTAGGAAGATTCGGGCTCGTTCTTTTGATGATGCGGTATGTCGGTATGAGGATGGCGGTTGCCCCTGCGGCAAACATACCACGCAAAGCATGCGCGCCAAACGTGTTGGTAACGTAGCCTGGGAGTACAGCCTCCGCAGGGAAGTAGGGGTGGGCCGGGATAGTGGCGTTCATCACGATTTCTGCAGGCATAGTGGGAATCTTCCTGTTTCGTTCTTTGCCCTTAGTTCTGTTTTCTGGTCAAATTCACCTACACTGAAGGGAAGTTCGTGAGCTTTATGGATGTCAGGTGAAGGATTCATGATGCAAAATTCCTACGCCTCGCGATCCACTCTGCCACAGCCGGGAGAGCTGCCATCCGCGTCGTGCGATTTTCAGCTCTTGTTCGTACAGAGACATCCGCCAAGTACTAAGCAAACTTACATTCTATTGGCCACAGGATTAGCATAAGCAGCCAAGCGAGATTGCACCGGCATCGTATTCGGGTTCAAGCATTTTTGTCAGACATAACCACGGACGAGAGAGTAGAGCATACTCAGGAGAGGACTTTAGTGCTATTCCCCGGGGCCGCCAGGTGCAAAAGCCCGATCCGGGATCCACACCTGGAGGCCGAGTCTGCCGTCGCCCGAGGGTCCAACACCGGGCTATTCCACCGAGTGAAACATGACGCGGAAGAGGATGCACGACGTTTTGAACATTGAACCTCTAAAATCGTTGTCTAGATATCTATGGACTGATACTTATCACCTGTGAGTTGGGTATACCATTACAATCATTACATCTCGTCACCCCATATAGTGTCGAGTCTCGTTTCCATTGCCAAGGCCCTTCAGACGTCGCCCTTCTTTTCCCCCTTCTTCTTACGGATATCGACCCAGCCCATACCCCACGAGAGCACAAACGCGAGACCACCAATTCCGATCATGAGGTAAAACACCTCACCGATACTCTTCGAATATGCCACCAACACCCCAGGCAAATCGCTCTCCGGTACAACGGTCCTAAACCCTGTGCCGCCCGCAGCCAGAACTGTCTTCACATCTACTGCCGGAGCGTACTTTGCCAAGTTCTTGCCCAGACCTTCGCTGAAAATGACTTCGCCTGCTGTCAGGAAAATGGCACCGCCAAACGTTTGCATGAAGACAAGCATTGCCATTGATACAGAAAGGGTCGCTGGCGGTATATTGGCTTGGACGGCGATGATGTGCTGGAGAAGCGTGAATATTAGCTTAGCCTTTCCAAGTCGCATGACAGCATATCTCACCATTTGCATACAGGCACCACGGCCGGCGCCGAGGAGGACTTGATAGCCAATCCACTTGGCAGAATCTGTAGATGGATCCCAGGTAGAAATGAGGCCGTTACCGATCGCCGATAAGACGGAACCAAATACAGCCCAGGGAAGGTAGTATCCCATCCTACCGACTATGAAGGATTAGTATCTCCATTATTCCATAGTCGGATTCCAAGGACGCAACAGCCGTCAACTTACCTAAAGCCCCTGAGGCGACAGCAAAGACCAACTGGGCAATGATAGTCGGCAAGAAGTGAACACCACCCCGGAACGGCGTCTCACCCTTGACGCTCTGGAAATACATGGGGATGTAGTAGCTTGACACCTGTGTAATGCTCATGTTCAGGGCTCCAACCAGACTGCTCGTCAAGACGATCCTATTCTTGAACAGCCCCATTGGGACCATGGCTTTTTCGTCGCCTTCCCTGTGCTCCCAGAAGATGAATAGCCCAGCGGTCACGGCAGCGCCGACGAACAAGCCGATAACTACCGATGAGTCCCAGCTATAGTCATTACCACCGAACTGTAGAGCGAGAAGGAACATGATAGCCGCGGGAGCGAAGAGGGCGAAACCAGGAAGATCGAGATATCGGGGTATTTGGACGAGGGAGACTGGCTTGGTGATCTTCGACGGGATGTGGATAAGGAAAAGCATAGCTGCGGTGACTGCACCAATTGGAAGGTTGATGTAGAAACCTGTATGAAAAGTTAGTATTGTTCCCATCCACAAATTGTAGCCCAACTACCGGGCAAAGATAACTAAGCTGAGAAATGAGTCAACTTACACCAACGCCAGGTCGTATACTGGGTCAAGGCTCCTCCCACAAGAGGTCCAGCGACAATGCCAATGTTCGAAATACCGATCATGATCCCAATTATCAACGGTCTCTTTTCCAATGGGACGGTGGCGCCGATGATAGTCAATGAACCATTGAAAAGTCCCCCAGATCCCATGCCTGAGACAGCCCGTCCGATGATGAACAGTGTTGATGAATTAGAGAGGGCACAGATAAGAGATCCGGCCTCGAAGACGAAGAGGAAGGCAAGGAATATTTCTTTCGAATGACGGTGCGTGTAAAGCTTGCCGGCCAAGGGCTGTAGGGCGGCACTGTTATGAAATGCATGTCAGCTTTGGTGATTCGATGAGCACTTGGCTCGGAGATTTTGCCGTGTAAGAGGCATAGAGTTGACATACCCACAGAGACTGTATGCTGCACCATACCATCCCACGTCAGAAAGAGAGTTGAACGCTGTTGTGATCTCCGGAACGGCCTAGACCCAGTGTCAGACTTGCCATGAGCACCTCGTCACATGCACCACTTGACAACCGTACCGTAGTGATGATAGACATGTCCAGCATCATGAGAAACACAGTGAGCGTCAGTGCCGCCAGGACAAGGATGAGCTTGAGGCCCTCGATGTACTCCTCCTCGGCTTCCTCTTGGTCCGCCGCCGTGCTTCCCTCATCTTCGGTACCGCTTTCCTTCTTATCGGTCTGCTCAACATCCGAGTCATTTGATGGTGACAGTGGCTTTTCCGACATATTGAGAACGATAGGAGTCGTCGATGGTTGTGTCATGGCCGATGCCGGCGATGTGAAGCGGGTCTTGGTAAGCTCCCTGGAGCTTCGTGAAGTAGGCCGGTCCATGTTTAAGATCTGGAAAAGATCTGGTGAAATGTCTGGGCATCAAGGAAATAGTATGGATGAACCTTGGCGCATCTTATGTAGCAGGTAACACTGACTTCGAAAACAACAAGACACGGTGATGCGCACGCATGTAAGAAACCCTTAGCCCGCATCTGAACTCCGTCTCGTAACTCCCTGGACCCATCCTTAACCCCGTCGTGTCAACAACAAGCAAACGCCAGCCGGCATTTTCTGGTGCTAACCCGCTCTCGGGTGTCCAGACTCGCTTAACCCGGGTCACGGTGTAAGGCTGACAATAGCGCAATCGCTGCACATCCGGGGTTCACACTAACCCCGAGGAGACTTTGGTAATACCTAACCCTTCACACCACATCAAATTTCCGTTCACACGCCAACGATTGGTCCCAACAGAGTGGAACTTACGACTCGGGCATACTTGCCCTGTTCTCTACTAAGCTATCTGGTCATTCAGCTTACTTTGGCATGCTTACCTAGTGCGCTGGCTGTTTTATTAGCCGTTTGTTGGTTTTGAATTCGGGAGGATTCGACTAGCTGCATACTGCGAGAGATTGATTACGAGTCAAAACCCCCCAGCCGGGATTTGGTGCCACGAGGATCTTGAACTCCGTCCGGTCAGCCATCCCGTTTCGATTTACGGCCGCTGCAGCAATAGTCCGAGCCCACTCCGCCTGGCAGTTGGTGTTTCCTAGCAAAGGATCCGGATCCGGGCTTGGCCGGTGCAGGTAGCCAGAACTCGGAGACTTTGCTTAATGGTGAGGGCTCAATTGGCCCGATGATCAAACCGACGTATCGGCATATACACATAGGCTGAATACGGATTCTTATTTGTAAGCCGCTTTGGCTCGTCGATCCGTCCCCAACGGCCGCACGTATTGTCGCTATGAAGGTCCTACCACCAACCGGTAACCGTTAAGCTCCTACAGAGAGTATGACTCTCGCCAAACAACCGTGATGACCAAGACTATATACCTGATAACCACGCATGCAAGGAATCCGCTGCCAGTGTTCACGCCATTTCTATCGCAACAGCCAGTGTACAGCTTTCATATGGTCAGTCATGCGCACTAGACATTTTTATACTGAAGAAGTATCATCGTATAGGAGGGTTGGGTCCAAAGTTGTTGCAGCAAAGAGCGTACCCGCTCCAGTTCGCTTCGATAGGGAAAGGAGACTCGCGCCCGTTGTTGCATGTCGCGCAGGCGGGGTAGATTTGTCGCTGGGCGAGGAGGGCGTCGTCAGCCGCGGAGTCGGCGGTGACGCCGGTCATGAAGGGGAGGACAGGAGCTGCTATGGAGAACTTCATTTTGTCCGGTTGGAGGAGCCGATTGAGGTACTTAACTGAGGAACTAAAGTATGTACTTGCTGCAGATAATGCGAATAGGCAGTTTTGGAATGGTCTTGTTCTCCTAGGTACAAAATGAAGATGTTGTCACTACACCTCTATCCCGTCATCCGTAGACAGTCGAAGAGACATTATTTCTGCCTGTACAACGACTCTCCCGCCCGTCTCAGTGCGCTCATAATCCGTTGGATTCATCCTTTCTCCAGAAATCAAAGAAAAGCAGAAATATCAGGAACCGATGAATCGCCCAAGTTTAATGCTACCTAAAGGTAATCAAGTCAGCCCGCGCCCTTCCCCCAAGAACTACCAGCGAGGACATAGGCTCAGAAAACTCACCTTCTTGCTCCTTCCACTCTCCATCTCCTCGAAAGCCTTGAGAATCACGCGCTTCCTCTCCTCACTCCGGCATTGGAATCTCACAGGCATATTCTTTCCCGGGTTCCCAGGCAATGAATCAGCGTAATCAGCAAATTCTAACGGCGTCTTGGCTCCCTCGGCAGGCAAGATTTTGAATGCCCAGAGGATACGCATCATTGTTACGACGGCGGAACGTTCTGCAACGGTGTATCCGGGACCTTTTCACACGCAATAGATGTTAGCGATGAATCTTTTTGTGGTCAGGTAGGATAGGTACATGGCGGAGTTGCCAAGATATTGTGACGTACAAACGCGACGACCGGCGCCGAAGGCAAAGTGGTCTCTCTTTGTCGGGTCCTGCGCGTTGATGCTTTCCATCGTCTAGAACGTCGTATCAGTTCTGGCTTGACCTCGAGATTCGCATTGAGGTACTCACAGTGGTCCCGTCATTCTCAAACCTCTCTGGCCAAAACCGATCAGGATCTTCGTGTCTCGCGGGATCTCGACTAATCGCACTTTACCCATAGTCAGCGACAAGATTCCAATTTCACGACAAGGAAACTCGGCCTTACTATGCGTTAAGGTGAATTCGTGCCCCCTTGGGAAGCCTGTACCCCCCAACCTCCACCTCGCGCGAGGTGATGTGAGGATGTCCCAGCGCCACCGGCGGCCTCCACCGCCATACTTCCTTGAGGAGCATGCGGATGTATGGAATTCGCGCGTAGTCTTCGTATGTTGGTGGTCTATCACCAACGACCTTATCTAGAAAACATCAGCTGGTCAGCGGTCGTGGTTGCTTAGAGGGCGACCAGGTTGGGGTTAAGACTGCTAGGATCGATGTTCTTAACATACCGATTTCAGCTTGTGCTCGGGCTTGAGCTTCGGGAAACTGCAACATGGCCTCGACGAACGACCATGTCGTCATTCGGCTCTAGCAATTTGCGTCAGCTGTCAAACGCATTCGGCAGTGAAGTAAAGGGAAGTTACTCACAGTATCCGCAGAAGCAACAATCAAAGCAGAGCTCAAAATCGCAAGCTCCTCCTTACAAGACATACCCTTGAGATTCTCATCGGCCAAAGCAGAACCCAAGAAAGTCTCTTCGAATGAGGAATCTCCTCTTGCTATTGCCTCTTCGACAATCTGCAACCGAACCAGTGGTCAATAGTGTTCTCAGAGCATGCTTTCATAGGTAAGATGTGCTTAGTTTCACCTTGACTCGTTTCATCCCCCATGAGAGGTCGCGTCTGTATCTTGCGCGTCCATGTCTCTCCCAGGGCTTGAGGAAGAGGGGCAACTTCCCCAAAGAAGGGGCGAGATCGATAATGTTGGTGCCAGGGAAGGTATCTGCCGCTCATTGTCAGTTTATCCGAACCCATGGCATTCGCCGCGGTCCTCAGAGATGATGGTTGTACTTATGATCTGGTATTCCGATTCTGTAGTCAATATCGTCAGCAAACCTTTTGAGCACCAAAGAAGGCCCGACAGGGATCTTCACACACCTTGAAGAAAGTCGATGACCGAGTCATCTGCGTCAGGCACCTAAACCATGCTCCAGTCATCACCTACCCCGTCACAACACAAGGTTGGGGCGATATCTCACATCCATGCCCATAATAACCATCGCGAATGCGCTATACGTATACCGCTCAATACCTCTCAAGAGCTGAAGCCCCGAAAGTCCGCCTGATGGTTCAAGGACATTATCGCGAAGGAACCGCATTGTCTCGTATTCTAGAAACCTAGCATGACATCAGATTGTTAGATCCATAGACGATTCAAGAAGCATATGAAAGGGGGCAAGGATAGCTTACGGCACAATCTTCCCCGCTTGCTGGGGACTCGTGAGAAGCTGCTGAATGACCTTCCTCTGATTCTGTAGGTATCAGGCGTTTCAGTCAGCATCGTTCAACCAGAGATTGCAACGTACTGTACCTTCCATGTTGGATCACTCGCGTCCAAGAACAAAGTATTAAACCCATTGTTCAAAATTTCATTCGACATGATCCACACGGGTCGATCCGCCGTCACCGCAGATTTTTTATCAAAAAGCTCCTGTCTCCAACGTCAGAACTCCGGGACTTCTTATACCTCCATCACTAAAATCGAGACCCCCACTACTCTCGCATTTCCACGGCCAGCCCACAAGTGCGACAAGCTTACCTTGACCAAAACATCAGAGTTGATGTAGTAATCAACAATATACCCAGTCCTTACTCCGAATATAGCACCATACTCTCTTGCCCAACCTTCCAACTTCAAATGCCATCGCCGCGCTTGATTTTCCCTGATTAAATCCGTCAAGTGGCCCAGAATAGGCTTCGAGGGCGGTTGAGGCGGCAGAGGTAGGCCGTTTGTCCGTCTCCTTGTTTTCGTCCAGAGAAATAGGGTCAATGTCGTCGTGAGAATGGCGTAGATGAGGTAAACTGTCGGGTTGGACGTTACAGCGTTCACGATGCGGGATGAGATGGCCTGTATGGCGTTGATAGCGAAGTAGTCCATGTTCACGGTCATGGTGCGAATGCTCTAAACTTGTCTAGTCTCGAGACAAGTCACCGACATAAACTTACAGATCAACGGGGAAGAATACGTCCAAATTTGTATTTATTGCGATGTTTCCCGTCATCTTCAAGATACCCCGACTCCGTGATGGGCACTCAAAAGAACGTCGGATTTCCCGCCATTCGGCGTCAAGGTCGGTGTCGCTGATTTACAGTTTACCGTCCTAGCAACTTCGCGTTGCCCCAGGTTTTGGGATGAAAAGGCTAAACCCCACCGGCATTGCCGCCCGACCTCCGGGAGTGCGGGGGTGCTAGCTGCACAAGCGTCCGCCCTCCCGTGGGTAGTAATTGCACATTCACGATTGGTGGTTGGACTGGTATCAACAGCGCCATATTCCATGTGCCGTTAGGCGTTCGTTCGCTTCTGATCCTGGTGGAGCATGTTTGTACTAAGAAGGTGTTCAGACCACTCCGTATCGGCAAGACAATTGAACCGACTGGAAGTCACATAGAAACCATGCTGTAGATGTACGGGGTGTCGGCGCTGATATAGCCGTCTCAACTCGGATATCCCGAAGCTCTGTCCCTCGTCCTCTCAAATTGCAGTGTACTAGGTGTTCGGAATGGAATTGTTGAGAGCCTCTTCCTTCCGTGTCGTCGACCCGCTCGTATCCCTCGAAGTATCGTTTGAGGAGCATCAGAGCCAAGTCGAACTCGGAGAATCTCTCCGTCAAGCTCCCCACAGAGCCCCCGCGTGCTTTACCAATGACTCTGGCTCTGATTATGAACTCTGATTCTGAGTTCAGTCCCCCCAGGACTTTGCTCGAGGACCACCTGCCTTTATCTTTCTTTTAACCCACCTGCGACGATGTCTTTCTTTTGTTAACGTGGCCTTCCCTAGTCCAAGGCTTGCACAGGAGGAATTCAGTCGTAACAAGCATAGGCTCCCCAAAGACATTATAGACTAAAAGAGGCGAACGTGTGTATGCCTGCACACGGTGTGTTTGAGTCCAACTAGCCGCGGGCGTCTTGATACTGACATGTGCTGTCTCAAAGCGTGCCACCTTTGCGGACTTGTGGGCCGTGTACAGGCCATGTCATACAAGCAAGTCAGATGGGCAAAAGTGTAGAGAGAAGCCTAGCTCTTTATAATTAAGCTTGAGGACTCTTCTAGCGAACTTGCACTGATAGAGCGTACTTTGTATACCTTAAAATGCATTTGGTGGTGTATTTGAATCTTGAAGGTTTTCCGCCTCTCGGGGTATGGCACCTTGCACGCACTACAACATGGGCTATCTAGAAAGTCCCTAGCTGTCTGTTAGGGAACATTTAAGGGAATCTCCGCATGAATCTGCCACTATTGTCAAGTTTTTTTTCTTCAAAATTGTTTTGGTCATACAGAATTCTTGGTCCGGTTAGGCATCTTGGCACAGAAAGTAGTCATGAGGATCGTCGCCCGCCAAAGCCATCATTGCAAGTTCTTCAAGGTATGCCCGAAACCCTGAATGCAACTTGACCTTGGGCGACCAATGATAGAATTGCATGACAGAGAATCGGAGCTCCCTCATCGCCTCCATGCTCCCATGCGTTTCCAAGACGCATTGATCGACCTGTTTCTTCTCATCCTGTGTGAGCGTAGGATAGGTATCATCGAACTGCCGAAGAAGAAGCGCCAGCTCCGCCGGACCAAACATCCATAGACTCCCTTCGTCGCCAGCTGGGCCAAGGTCGACACCTACCCCGCTGTCCCAGTCGAACTTCTTCCAAATGTCTTTGGATGGCGCATGCAGAAGGGGATTCGCTCCGAATAGGTCAAAGTCCACGTGTTCCTCCTTCACAACTCGAGCCGCATTGTAAAGAATGCCACTCAGGTCACCTGCCGAGTCTTCCTCCTCCGGTCCTTGAAGCTTGAATCCGTCGCTGACTGCAAGGAACGTCAGGTAGTCTGGGTCCAGGGCGCAGTGACCATTTTCGCCCATTACTCGTTTTTTGAGCGCTTCGATATCCTCTGGAGATGCGGGAGGACAGATGTAGGTTGCTCCAGTCGGGCTTTCCGCCGAAGAGAGCAGAGCCTCATTCAGAAGTTCGGCGAGCTCCGCTATAGTCTTGGTCGCTAGATTTTGAGCATGACCTCGTGGATGAGAGCCGGGGGTGGCCATGATCAGGAATAGTACAGGTGATGAAGATGAAGACCCGGAAGATGTTGCCGTGTTCCCTTCCGGTTTGTGCTCTCAGCCTCTTAACGGCAATGGACCTAGCTTAGGTTGGTAAGCAAGACACTCATTGGGTTTGGTGGGTCTTGAACTGTTGAGTACTATTATAAGCCAGCTGCACTAGTTTCCGTTATCAGCCGATTGGCGCGGCCCGGCGCTGAATATCCTGAAGCGGGCAAGAAGGCGAACGCTCTCTTTTGTATAGCGCGTGGCGCACAGTAAAGGGAGATGACGCACATAGAGAAGAAACCGTTGATAGGTGTAAGGCATGTAATAACAGGAGCTAGGTCAGACGAAGAACGATCAAGGAGGGAAGAAGGAAAACAGGCTAGGTATTCGCGATGGGGTAGAGGAGAACCGTACCTAAACCTGTTGGATACTTCAAGGCTCTACGACACTGCTGCTAGAAATTTCAGTGCGAATGTTTCTTACTAATTGGTCGTTCTGGGCATTTCTAGTAAGGTGAATTAGAAGGCATGTAAACAGTATTGATGAGTGCGCTGGCGTCCATTTCGGTCATCTTATACTATTCATCTAAGTGGCGACCAGCTACTGCCCTTGTTGGTTACTGAGAGTTTAGGGTCAAGTTACTGAGCTGTGTCTGATAGTCTTGGAGCTTTATCGCCTCACAACTCAGTTACTGCAAATGCACCTCCCCTATCGAGTCCTGCGCCGCCGCTTCTCTGCATGTACGGGCCTGAGCCCGGACGGGGCATGTTTTCTTCTATTCTTTTTTCTTCCTTTAAACTCTGTCTGTATCGACATTACTTTGAACAGGGATCTAGACTCAACTGTTGTTGGATTTGGGTCATGCGCTTAATTAAGTTCAATATTAACATGATCCTACTAAGTCAAATAAGTATTGAAAGTGTACCATTATATTTTATAGTTAAAACCATACTTTATCAGACAGTCTTTCTTTTCAGAAACATTCATTCTTTTCAAGTCGAATCTCTTCCTCTCTTCAAACTCACAAACGTACTTAAGAACCCCTCAATATAATACGAGGATATGGGAGAGATTCTCGTAGATAGACGGAAAGTCGGTATCAACGTCGCCGGCTCAACCCGGATATCCCGTAGTGCTGTTCCTCATCTGATGTTTAATGGTATTGGGTACATCTCAAGTAGAAAGTTTGCAGCTCCTACTTTCTATCTCTGGGCATGGCACGTGTCTGGTGGTGATAGTCCTGGTGCTTCTGCCCCGGCTTTTACAGGTAATTCGACGGAACGCATTGCGAGTCAGTCTATACCATGATTAGGGTGTAGGAAGTCTTCCAGTTGAGGATGTGAGGTAAGCTTGGGAGATGGGAAGCCCTTTGCCGGCCGAAAGATGTGGTGTACGGAGTTTGTTCGACCGAATCGGATGATCATTGCTGACATTCTCCGTGGAGATAGGTTGGGAGGCGGAGACCAGCCGCCGATTCAATGGTGTTTACTCAACTGTTTGTGTAGTATGCTACGGTTACGATTGCTGATAGTGCCGGTATTGTCGGAGAACGGAGGTCAGCAGGATCCCGCTGACATATCCGGGCGGGTGCCGGAGGGGCCGAGAAATCTTAACCTCTGGATGGCCCCACATAGTCCACTATCGGCTTTGGTATTTATCGCCGATCAGCTAGTCAGGCCAGAGAGTTTGGGACTATGGTCTGGTGCAATGCTCTCACACGCAGCTTCTCGGTTTATGACCTTAACATCCTCTGATACGCTGCACCTAGATTTCATCGCAGCACTCTTGATGCCGCTGCAGCAGTCAAAGTTGCAGCCGGAACAGCCAAAAGCGACGAGAGTTTCCAGTAATCAAAGTTGCGGGGGACAGAACCACTCTATACGTCACAGATCAGCCGAGTACGACATCCGCTTCAGAGTGCGATTGGCAGGGGTGGCGAAAGACAAGAATGCCGTTCAAACTCCGAGATTCTCTTGGCCGCCGTTGGTTGTTGGCTGTTGCTTACAAGGTCCTAGGAGGGCGGCAGCGGATGGCCACACACGGGAACGGGAGTTTCTTCGGCCGTACATTGTGGGACCAATCTTGAGATCGCGAGGTAAGGTGATGTGAGGTCTTGCCATGCCGCGCCGTGGCCTTGGTTGCCCTGTTACCGATACTCAGCTGAGTCCATCACCAAAGATTTACCGAAAAATACAGGAGACAAATCGAACCACAGCGCCGCTCATTGCCGTCACGCGCTGTGGTCCCGCGGACTTGAGCGACTTTGATTGCTCGGCTGCGGGGGGTCGGTGTAGCCTCTCAGGCTCCTCAGCTTCACCGAGTGGATCTCGCCAGGCGCCGGTGGTCCGGAAACCGGCGGAAGTGATTCCGGAAGAAGGACCCACTCTTCCAATGTGCCGCAAGGCCCCAAGGCCAAAACGCCACCAACCCTGGTCGGTGCACTGATCGCCGGTTGTGCGAGAGACTGAGAAATGCCATTGTTTCGTCTGGTTTGATTCACCAGCTTTGGTAATGGTAATCAGCCCAGTACATCTGACCGCGGCGGACCGTCGATTGTCTTCCGGAGTGTGTGTATCGTATGCGCTTCCCTCGGCTCCAATTCCACTAAGCGACCCGGTTCAACGGTTGATCCGTTCTTTCCAACTTTTGTTCTGATGCCCACAAGACAGAGATGACGGCGTTTACAGGAGGCTGGTTTCCATCGTGTCGATCCTGTGAAAGACCTACCGGTACCACACCCAGTTGCCCATGGCCGTTGCGAGACTCGGGGGACAGAAGAGACAAGGGAGCAGAAGCGCCGGACCAACGTGCATCTCCTCAAGACAATACGGGGCAGAAGAGCGACACCAAGGCGGAGGTGTGGTGCGAAATGACATCAACTCCGGGCATGGTAGCGCTGGGCAGAGGTTCCGGTAGGAGACGACAAGGGCAGGAAAAGTGGACGCAACCTCCGGATTTCACGGAGAAAACAGCCTGGCGTCGTCAGCGACATCAGCTTACACTGTACGGAGTACAGTTTGTTTGATTCTCGAAGCCATGACCCGTTTGCCTGGCAGCGCTTCAGCCGGTGGAAAATAGCGCACTGTAGCGAGCTGCGCGCTCTCTTTTTCTCTCTCTCTTTCTTTCCCTCTCTTTCCCTCTCTGGAATTGGGCTTTAGGGCCTAGCCGTGGCATGACGATAAAATCAGCAGACCGTCAATAAGACAGTGCTAGCGCTGCAGCAAACGTTCGTCTGTTTCTGAAGAGAGAATTTGAGGTCACACAATTGCGTGCAGTGTGTCGGATGTTGGGTTTCAGACCAGGCTGCTTCGGTAACAGATCGTATGGTGCAAGTGTTCAAAATTCGATTTGTTTGTGCCGCGGACCAGCACGCTGGGCTGAAATGTACTGGCACGCGCCGGGTCGGGGGTGCGTAGAGAGGGAACCACCCGCACTGGGCAGGTTTGCCGGCAACACTACGACGAGTCGGGCGCCAGACAGGAAGACCATCCCCAGAAGTTCGGCCGCGAGCTCACAGAACCATGTCCGAGGTCGCACGAATGAAGCATCTCGCCAAGGAACGGGGGGGTACAGATGCTCCAGAGAATGCAATCAAGAACCGGTATCCAATGTCGCGATTCTCGTCAACCGAGGAATAAGTCGGAACAAGACGAGCGAAAGTGTGGATATCGACGGCAGCCGCCAGCCCCGTCTGGATATCTGCCGAGAAGTCTGGATTAGGCTTTTCTTCGGTCACCGGGAGAGAGTGTTCAGACGCTCCGCAGAACAAATGCGACATAACGCGCTTCCCCGGACGAAAAGGATGAACGTAGCGAACGTAGCGAAATCCGATGCAGCGTTCTAGAGACATCAGGATGTTTCCTTTTGCGCGTAGAGTGCTGCAGAGCCTGACCAGCCCTGAAGAGAGGCCCCCATAAACGAGAGCGTGCACTGGGAAAGGTTTCTCGGCCCGCCCACCGGCTATGCCATATTGTGTTCTTTGATTTTTGCGCCCCCTACAACAGCGAGGAAGCAGATGTCGCGTGTTTGTACGACGTATACCTAAAGTATGTGAAAAAGGCATCAGAGATCCGGCTTGGCCGCGTAGTCGGCATGGTGACAGTGCACAAGGGCATTGTATCCCTACCTGATGTCACAGGAAGAGGTATTGCCAACTTAATGACACTCTGTGCCTGGCTCGGTGGCTCCCAGACGTACGGTAGCCAACGTCGGTTTTGTGCCGAGCACATCTTGATATCCATTCCTTGACGCAGTGGAAACCTGATGTAAGACACAGTGGCATGCCGCAGTATGCCTTTGCTGCAGAAAATGTTTGGTGATACGGACAGAAACGAAGAAACGGCCGGGTGGGGTGGGGCGTCGACTGTGCAAGTTCGCTTCAGCACGGGGAACGAGCGAGGGAAAGGGCCCAGGTTCAGGCCCGGGCAGGTCGAGTTTGATTAAACAGAGATTTGGCGCGTCGCCGGAACGAGATGGCGCTGGACTTTCTCGGGATTGCTGCTCCATGGTGAAAACTGGGGCGAGGGCGTGCTGGGTGGGATGCCACCGGAGCGAAGACGGAACAGCTTGCAAACGTAGCAGACCCGGACGAGGCGGCAGCTTTTGCCGGCACTGTCTTTCGTGCACATTGCACAGAAGCAACAGCCGTGTCGACCCTCGGCCAGCGTGCCAGTCGTGTGTTCCAGACCAGCCCGATGGCCGGGACGAGCCGTGGACTGGCTATCCCACATACCAGAGACATCCAGCAGCATTATCTTGATGATGTGCAGAGGTATGGTGTCCGGACTTGCAAATCGGCAGAGTGTCGACGACGACGCGGTCGAGTTGGCATGGGAGAGACTCAACCGGAAAATGTGCCCCTGGAGAACTTCTATAGTTGGGGGGACCACGCCTATGTGCCCCCTAAATCATAATGAGAAGCGCATCGGCTCCGCGTAGCAGAGCGTATAGCGTCGGCACAGTCAGAAGCCCATTGAGCAAATTACAGTTTTGCTGCTGCATTTCCGGCCCCTCTTCATCTCGATCGCTAGAGGCCGTGCCGTCAAAGAAGTGTCCAAAGGCACGAGCGCAGCGTCCAACGAAAGCGCCCTGCCGCGCCGTCACGCCGTGTCTGCGAAGATCAAATTCGGGATGGGGTCAATCTTCCGTTGGAAGTTGGCGGCGCGATGATCATGGTCAGGGACGGACAAGCTGGCGTGGCTCTGTAGCCGCCGGTTGGTTTTTGGCGCTCCGTGGAATTTGGGGACAAGCACCAAGGAGAGGAAGAAAGGTACGGAGTACTTGGAAGAGGGTGCGATACCGACTCTAGGACCAGGGGGGCGCGGCGATTCCAGGCCCGCCCGGCGGTGTTTGTCGTCCACACCCCCGTGGGCCATGGACCATGGCATTCTGTGCCTCGCCGTCGGTCTCGTCCGCGGTCCTCTCTTGCCCTGTGGCCTGTACTCCGTACCTTAGGCTATGGCTCTCTCTGTCGCTGAAAGGTGCAAGTCAGGCCAGGTGGACATGGCCCGATTGCGCTGGCCGTCCCTTCTCATTGCGGTGTGGGCCAATGCCCGGCGTGCCGCGGGTCTGGCAGGGTTTGTGACTCTGTGCTGCCGAGGCGAAAGCGCTGTAGCAATCGGCGGGCCCGGCTTTATCGCAGGGCAGGGTGATGAAGGCTCGTTGGGACTGGTCGGGTCCGAAAGGCAAGCTCGGAGGAGGGGTTGCAGTGTCAGCCAAGACTATTCTCGCGTTGATAGTGGTATCAGTACAGGAGTAGAGTCGTCTTTTGAGGGTATTCGACTAAGCTTGCGGGAGATGGGCGCATTGCCTGTTGTAGAATTGGCGGCGCAGGTCGCAGGGGAACATGGTGAGACGGAGGAACGGTCTGCCCACAAGACGGACGGTGAAATTCGCTAGGCTTGCAAACAAACGGGATTGCGACCGGTCGGCGGCGGAGGCAGAGGACGGATGGATGCGAGACGCGAAATGTGTCGGGGAAGTATGCCGCAGGCACTGTGTCGAGACTGTACGAAGTATGCGCATCGTTTTGGCTTTCGGGCGGCATCCGGGCTGGGGTTGGGGGGGACTTCATTTGCGCCTCTGTGGATTGGGCAGAAGTATTGGAAATGTCATGACCTTTGAGTGAAGCTTTTCAGAAGTTTGAGAAGAGACAGAAAACAGAGGCAAACAATGGATATCAAAGAAGGGAGGATCACAATTACACATTCATTGTCGCTCCTTCTCATCAAGATCGAATGGAAGAATGGAAGCACAGGGGAGGCTCGAGGTAGGTGCCTGCCGCGGGAGTGCAGGTGTCGGCAGGGCAGCGATGCGTGTCAGGCAACGCAAGCGCGCAGACGCTGAGGCAGGTACCGATTCGACGGAAGTTGGAGGGAAGGCAGACACGGGCAACCTGGAACCTGGAAGGAGAGACCCGAAGAGAGGGCAGAGGGTGGTACTTGAGTTTTGGGGAGTGAGTGTCTAGGCTGGTGAGTACCGGACATGTACCTCCCTGAGGTGATGTGCGACGGACATTGACGCGGAAGGCAGAATGGGCAGAGTGGGTCCCCTCGCTCCTGGTTTCCTTCCGTCTCTCCTCATTCAGCTCCGGCACCACCAGCCGATCCGCCCGTAAAACCTCAGCAAAGGAGGGACCTCAGGCCCGCCCGTGTGTGGGCGAGGCAGGTGGCCCAGGCAGCTCCTGCTTTTTCGTTTTCTGTCCTGTCCTGTCCTCCCCTCCCTTCTTGCCTGTTCATTGTGCGGTGTCTTTGTCACTCTGCCTCTGCCTCTGCCTCTGCCTCTTTTCCGAATGCTATTTTTTCGCGCCTGTCACCGAGGGTTGTGGAAATGCCAGGTACCTGTGTCCCCGTACTGTTCCATTTCCCCTCGGATTGTTCTATACGCACACACCCCCCTATTCTCAGCCCTCCTCACTCTTTACCTTAGTCTTTCACTTTTTTTCATTTTGGCACTTTCCACCACCCTGTCCCTCCCCCCCAAAAAAGTCCGCCGACTGCTCCCGCTTCCGCAGGCCGTGACTTCCTAACCCGCACCGAGCTTGGCCAACCCTCAGTGGGGACGACCATCTGGCGACATCCGTCCGTTTCGTTCGGGGGCAAGACCTCTGTCTTCCTTCAGTTTCTGTGCCGTCTCCTCCCTCCACTTTCGTTCGGATTGCAGTCGATAGAAGGAGCCGTTGCGACGGGATGATATAATGATCAAAGGTGCGGCCAGAGTAAGGAGGTAGGGAGAGAGAGAGAGAGAGGAAGGATGGAAGTTAGGGACTTGAGTGCGCTGTTGCAATGAATGCGAGGCCGAGGCCCGCCCGCCTACCTTACCTTGGGCACGCCGTGTGTGCCTCCTTCCCCCGTGTCCACGTCCCGTAACCCGTGTGCCGGTTCCCTCTTGCTCTTTCCCCAGGTCGTCCACCTCCGCCTGCCTTTTCACGTCCACCACTTTGTGCTTTTCGCCTGAGGTGATCTCTTTCTGACATTGCTCCTGCTGTCTCAAGTGAATGTCCAGTGTACATAATATTCCCTCTTTCCCACTCTGATTTATCCTCTACTCTTCACGTGAGGCGACTGAAAGGTAAGGTACGGACGCTTCCTTCCCCCGCTTGCCCTCCGTGCGGCGTGCCCTCCTCCCGTCCTCGTAGTGTCTACGGAGTAGGTACCTGCCTTGAGGTAGGTAAGGTAGACTACAGAAATACATACTGTACAGGTCGCACCCCCTCCCCCCATCCTCTCCACACCCCTCCCCTCCCTCGTACTCCACTCCTTCCTTCCTCCTCTTCCAACCACCGAAACCTGAGGACCACCGCCCGGATTTTTCGCCCACCACCGAGAAATCGCGGCCGACCCGTGCCCTCCGATTCTGCTCTTTTTTCGTCTTCCACTGTCCACCGCGTACAGCACAACTTCCAACGCTCAACATCACCGCATCTCTCACAACTTTCAACACAAAAGAAAAAAACATCGCCAACCGCCTCCGACACCGTCCCGGCATCAAATCCAACCAAGTCCGACCCCTTTTATCCCGTCGCCTCTTCGGCCGCTGTGGGCATCGTTCCGCAAACTCCCCCCGTCGCGTTCTGCCCCCCTTCCTGGGCCTTGACGCCGCCGCCCGCCCTCGCCCGCTACCTCCTGCCTGGGGGTCTCGCCTTTCTGGAGCCACCCTTCTCCATAATCTCGGCGCGACGGGTCGTCTTTTCTCTGCGTCACCCGGCCCCAAAACTCTCTTCTCTTCCGGAGCCCCCCTCAACAAAACACTCCTCCTCCCGCGACCTTGACACCCCCGAACTCTCCCTTCTTTTTCCTCCTTTCTTCAACTTCACCTCGTCGACTCTCCGGCTTCCTGACGCCGATCATCGCCGTGTGACTTTTGCGGACGTCACAAGTCGCTTCACTGGGATCACGACATCATCCCACAAACCAAGCAAGATTCTTCTACTTCTACCTACCTTGGGTGGATCAAGAAGCTCATCGCGTCGCGTCTTTTCATCCACCTCCGGCTGAACACACGCGCATCCGGGTTTCACCACACAAACCCTACCTACCGCCCTCATCTTCTCGTCGGCGCACTCTCTGCTCTGCAGAAGGGAAAAAAGAGAAAAGTTCCATCATCCAGCGACACGCCGCTACTGACCAACACTGGTTCGCATCTCATCCACTTCACACCAAAACCCAACCTCACACACACAACCGCACCATGTCGGCCAGCGTTGTGCGGTCTACCGCCCTCCGAGCTGGCGGCGCCTGCGTGCGCTGTCGCAAGGGCAAAACCAAGTGCGTCTACGAAAACGGCCGCGCTCCTTGCAAGAACTGTGCCAAGGGCATGCACGAGTGCTATCTGCCCTCCGAGTCCATGGCCCATCACCATGGCCAGTCGCCTGCCCGTCATACCGCCGCTCATCGCCCTGCGCGTGAGAGTCTTCCTGCCTCGGTCCCGGCCGGCGATGTGCGCGCCGCCAACCCGGCTTCTACCACGTCTCGTCACGTTCAGACTCCCGAGAAGTAAGTTTCACAGTTTGTTATTCATATTCCAAGCATTTTCATCTTCTTCCCTTTCACTGCCTCCGCCGGCTTGCCCCGAACCTTGCGCGACGCACACCTTTTTGCGCTTGGCACTCAGTTGCCTTTTGCGCGCGCGCGCCGTGTGCCGGGTGTGCTATTCTCGTCTTTCGGCTGTGTCGCCGCCCACCGCCGCCGACCAGGGAGGGGAGCTCGGCCCCCTACTGCATGCGGCCTGGGCGCGGTGGCTTGTTCCCCTTCTCATCACACGCGCGGTCATCTCTTGTTCTTCGTCCCCCCCCCCCCCCCTTCTGTTCCGTCTGCCCAAGTGCCCTCCCCCTTGTTTCTTTTTTCCCCAAGATTTGGCTGCCATTGCTTCGATCTCCCGAAGACGGCGTTTCGTCTCCAACCGACGGCATCTCCCACCGCCGCTAGCCTAACCCTCGGAGCCGCCATCTGACGGCGGGCTTTCCCTTGGATCCCACAAGCTTTCCAATATCCATTTTGGTGTACCCGTACTCGCTCTGCCCCCCTCCCCATACTCATTTCCCGAGTCACATCCCCGTCTCCGCCACTTTTCACTCCACTTCTTCCCACCCGGGCCAGTCGCCGGGATGGATATGTCTTTCCACGCCCCCCGAACGCCAACACGGGCGCAAAAAGAAACACGAATGCTGACCTCATCCCCGCCAGACTCACACCGGAGCTGATCCAAGAATGCGAACGCGTCATTTCCAAGACGTACCCGGCCTGTGTTGCTTTCCACAAGCCTTCGTTCATCCAGCAGCTCAAGAACGCCTCGCTGGACCCGGCCCTCATCTACGCGCTGCTCACCTGCGCCGCTCGGTACGTACCTCTGCCTTTCGGGTCTTCCGATCCCCGATCCCCCCAATTTCCCTCCTGATTTTGTGTTTCACTACGTCCCCCCCGCAATGTCCGGCTTTTTTTTGTGGGTGGCGCGGCCTTCCGTTCGGAAGTCTCGTGTCGGCTCGCTTAGCCACAAATGTCCGGACTTGGGCCGAAAAAGTGTCACCACTTTGTCTTTATTGTGGTTATTGTCTCTGAGGCCCGGTTCAGTCGCCGCCTTGCAGGCTAGCTCTGCACAATGGTAAACTTAAGCGGACGAACACACTCAGCTAACTTCATTGTCCTTCCGCAGAAGCTCCCCCACCTTGATTAGACGCTATGGCGGGCAGTCCGGTGCGACTGGTGCTGCTGAGCACTTTGCAGCCAAGGCCATGGGCATCATTAATCAGAACCTCGACACTCCCAGCCTCGCTGAGATTCAGGCCATCTGCCTGATCATCATCCACGAGTGGGGTTCCCGCAATGCTGTTCGCGCCTACATCTACCTGGGCCAGGCCAGTCGCATGGTCCAGATGTACCGCATTCTCCACAGCCACCATGCGGCCGTCAGTGATGCCGATAGGTTCCTTCAGGACGAGTCGTTCCGCCGTGTGCTGTGGCTGTTGTACATCCTCGACTGCCTGCTGACCAGCACGCCCGGCCGTCAGCCGGCTTTGTCTGCCAACGACACGGCCGACGTCTCTCTGCCCTGCTCCGACATGAACTTTGCCTTCGGCAATGCTGTCTACGTTCAGACCATCAACCTCAGCGATCCCTCTCGGATGCCTTCTGGCTCCCGTACCGACGAGGTTGGTGAGTTTGGCCAAATTGTCATGGCCACTCGCATCTGGCGCGACGTTGTCCAAATGTTGATGACCACGACCACTGAGACCTTCAACGATAATGTCTGCACTGGTCTCATGGGCGAAATCGAGCGCCTCCGTGCTTCCCTGTCGATGCAGTACGTCGACAAGCCGGGCCAGATTAATCTTCACATCACCATGGGCTCTGGCTTCACATATGCCATGCTGCACTGCATGCTCCATTGCGCATCCATCTTCATCAACCGCCGCCGCCTGCTGCAGTATGTCACTGCACCTGGCTTCAACCTGGAGAGCTGGCGCCTGACCCCCCAGTGCCACGATATTATCGATAGGCTCTTTACGTCGTGCCACAGCACCATCGCCATGCTCACTGCTCTCGAGACTGGCTTTGACAAGGAGGGCATCATCTGCTTCCCCATCTTCATGCTGTTCTCGTCCTTCACTGCCAGTGCCACCGTTGCGTACCTGTCTCTCAAAGGCCTGACTCCTCCTAACGCGGTCGAGACTGCCGGGCATATTGTGCGCGACGGTCTCCACTTCATGCAGGATGGCGTTGACACCTGGCCTCTGATCAGCTCCTGGCTGCGTCACCTTGCCGTTATGCATAGAGTGCTCGGCAACGATGCTGTCGCTGGTAGCCCCAGTGTTGCAGGCACCTCTGTCCCTCCTACCAGCGCCCCGCCCGCCGACCAGGCCTCTGTTAAGGACGAAGCCGCCTCGAACCCAGACACCAACCCCGACGCAATGGACTACGACCAGACCTCCAACTCCAACGCCGGCACTGGTGCCCCCGTCCCCCCGGCTCCTGCCAATAACCACACTGCCTCTGTGAGCGAGAGTGGCCGAGAGAGCGGCCGCGACAGTGAGCCTCCTGCGCCTCTGCCGCGTCGCCCCGGTGTCACTACTATCAACGGTGGTTCCGGCGGTGTTGGTACCCCGGCTTCCGTCAGCCCTCCTCCTCCCCAGCCGGCCGAGATCAAGCAGTCTACCGAGATGCTTCCTCAACCTCCCATTGGCAACGGCGTGGCGTCTGCCGAACCTGCTGCTCCTGTGCCCCAGGACATGACGGCTAGCGAACTCTGCTCCGCATTCGAGCGCCAGCTACTCGAGCTTGACGACCTCGCTGCCTTCATGGGTGGCGGAGTTTGACTCACCTCTTGATCAAACTTGACCTTCATGGAGAGACTTCCAGTTCTTTTAACGAAACACTGCAACGCCTCGGCACAGTTTCAGACCGACATATTGTACAGTACGACAAAAATACCCTGCGGATGCTTTTTTTTTGATCTTGCGTCGGCCAGTCTCTCGAACCGGTTCCAGTATGGGATAATTGTGCTTTGACATCTAGGCGGAGTGGGTGTTGCGCAGGCTGTCGTAAGTACGCGACGTCATGGGCACTATGGTATTCAGGAGGACCACTTTCACGAGCACCCTTACATAGGGAGCAAATGGATGTGCTTCTCCTGTGGGAAGGAAAGTAATGAGTTCTTATTTCGGCGTTGGAGGTGGTTCGTCAACGGTAGGCTGCGGCCAGCTCTACGGAGTCGTTGATCTTTATGTGCTTGTCCTGCGATAAGGCAACATTCGAGGACTTCTTGATTGCCTCATTTGAGGCCATGCTGCGTTAGCAAAAAGCAGCCATTAAGGCGTTAGGTCCCAAGTTGCATGGTAACTTTTAATCGAATACCCATGGCACACTTCATCACTTTGTCTTTCAACTCATGTGAACATGTGCTCCTTCCTCTACTACTGGCCATCTGACGTCTGCAGCGTGCATTGTAGCTGTCGCTGTGAACCTTCTTTTCTTTGTGACATTTGTCTTGCATGGTTTGGAAGAAGGCCAGAGAATTGGGTCAGGTAAGCGGACTGCCTAATCTCGACACCAGCCGGGCCGAGGATAATACTCTTCCCGGATGTACCTCATGATCAATATATTTGTCTCGGGTTGTTGACACCTATAATGTCTCCAGAGTTCGTGCTCCCTGCCCAATGAGGCAGAGATCAAAACTTACAATCCTCCATCATGTCAGAGGATCCAGGCTGATGTCAGATGTTCTACGCAGTATGCGAACGGTTAAAGTATTCCTAGTGGGCGGCCCTGCGTTTGTTAGTGGATGAGACCAGGGGCGGGGCCGGGGGTGGGAGCGGATTTCGGCATTCGGCGCAACATACATCCCTGGCCCCGCCCACGCGCCACACGCAAGCCACATGTAAGCCTCAGGCTCACCTCCATCAGCCATGACCACATCTGAGGCTGTTGCCAGCAGGACCGGCCGGATTTCAACATTTTCAACTTCAACTCCGCCTCTCGACATACATATGCCGCAAGGACCTCAACATCGCCCACACCACCCACGACCCAAACCCGGCGGGTTTCGAAGCCAATCCTCCTCCTGCTCACTCCATCGCCCATTGTTCCCCCTTCCCACTTCCTAAGTTCCCTTTTTCGTTGGTCTCACACTTCCTGCACTCCATCCAAACGGCATTTGCGAGACCAAACGGACATCTGAAGCCCGTTCAAAGCTGGCGGGTGTTTCGTTGGCTGCGAATATCGTGAGACAGAAAGTACAGACAGAGAGATACCTACACACAAGAGACGGAGGAAGAGAGAGGGAGATTGATCGCCTGCAGCCAAAAAGCTTAGCAGGGCGATTTTTGGCCCGCCACCAACTCCGTGACCTGGCACCACCGTAACCATCACGCAACACACACGCCGCTGCTCAACCAAGTCCGCTCGCCGCCCACAACCCCGGGGGAAGGTGGACTTCCGGATTCTCGGCCCGCTTACCAAAGAAAGCAAAGCCTTGCCCACTGACGGATTGTACCTTTTTACCACCTTTTTCTTCCTGTTCTTCAAACTTAAACGACAGGGGCATTCGCTTCCAAGTTTAAATCCCGGATGCCGACGGGGATCGAAACCCGCGACTCGGGGGCCGCCGAGTCGGTCAACGGCGGCATCGCCGCACCCTACGGCCGGGCCTGCACCAACTGCTCCCGCGCAAAGTGCAAATGCATCCTCCGCCCCGTCGGTGGGGCCTGCGAGCGGTGTCACCGGCTCGGCAAGTCGTGCCAGCCGAGCAACCCCATCCGGAAACGCTCCAAGAAGCCGCCGTCCAGCCGGACCGCGCAGCTGGAGGAGAAGCTTGATGGACTTGTTACGCTGCTGAGGCAGTCGGGAAGGCCGAACTTGTCGGCTGATTTGGGTGTTGATATTCACTTGTCTGGGGGGTCTGTTTCCTCTTCGTCGACGACGGCTGCTGCTGCTGCTGCTGCGGAGGCGGCGAGGAGGCAGTCATCTGAGATGGGAGATGTGCATGGCGCTGGCGGCGAGGGTGGTGGAGGATTTGACTCGGCGCAGCATTTCGGCAAAGGTGATCGCAGAGACCGTGGGGCGTCGTTGCCGACGCCGACGCAGACGGCTAGCCCCGAAGAACCCGGGTACGGCGACGAGTTACCATCGCCAGACGAGGCGGAGGCACTCTTTGAGGCGTTTCGTGGTCAGAATCTCAAATACTTCCCGTTTCTCAACTTCAAGGCTACGATGACGGCCGAGGAGCTGCGCGGCGAGAGGCCGTTTTTGTGGATCTGCATCATGACAGTCGCGTCGAGGGTATCAAGTCAACAGCTTGCGCTGGGGCAGCGTGTGCGGCAGATTGTGAGCCACAAGCTGCTTGTCGAGAATGAGAGGAGTATCGATTACCTTCTCGGGTTGTTGGTGATTTTGGGATGGTCAGTACAAGTCACGTTCGTGTTTCTGCTCTTTCTTCTCTTAGTAAAATCGTTTGCGCGTTTGGCCAGTGTCGCTGACATTCTAGGTGTCTTTTTAGGGCAAACCACCAGCTTGGTAACAAGCCGTTCATGTGCTTGTTCTGTCAGATTGCTATCGGTCTCATCTTTGACCTGGGAATGTCCCGCGACCCCTTGGACAGCCTGAACCCTTTCCTCTGCTGGAAGGCTGCTCAGGAGAGGGCTGACCGGGAGAAGACTGGGACTGTGGGGCAGACTCTGTATGTCAAGTCGCAGATGCCGCGGACGATGGAGCAGAGGAGAGCTGTGGTTGCGTGCTACCTCATCTCGTCGGCGTGAGTACCCTCGATCTACTCAACCAACTTGCCAATTCCAGGCAGTGGCACTGGCTGAGATAACAATGTTAATACCTGTGTAGCGTCGCGAGTTTCTTGGGCAAGATGGACCCCTTGCGTTGGACACCACACATGGATGAATGTCTGCAAGTTCTCGACGAGCAGCCCGAGTCGCCCTCAGACCGCACCCTCGTAGCACTAGTCAGGATGCAGCTACTCAAGGAGGAGGCCGGGAAGATGTCCGCGGCATGGCGTCCCGAAACCACGTTCGACATCGTCGATTCGCACAAGACGCCGCCTGCCATGTATGTCAAGCTGCTACAGAGGCAGCTTCAGCAGCATATCCAGAGCTTGCCGTCAGAGCTCCAGAGTACAGGTGAGTCTCCTCCTTCTTTCTCCTACCGCACTTCTGCCTGTCATTCTCGGCAACTCGTCTCTAACCTTTAAACAGACACAATCATCGCCCAACTCCACTGCACAGAACTCTCCATCCAAGAAATCGCCCTCTCCAACAAGACAGGCACCTGCGTGCCCGCCAACCTCCCCGACGTAGCCCGCCTCGACATCTACTACGCCTGCCTGCACGCCGTGAAAGCCTGGTTCGACCACTTCCTGACCCTCCCGCCCGCAGCCTACTACACGACCCCCTTCCTCACCTTCTCGCAGCTCTCCCACTGCATAATCGCCCTCTATCGCCTCTCGGTGCTCGAGGACCCCGTCTGGGACCGGGCCAGCGTGCGGTCAACGATTGATCTCATTGCTACGCTCGACGAGATCGGCGATCGGTTTATGAGAGTTTGCAGCGAGGCTGGATTGAATGTTGACGTTGAGGAGGGGAATGCGTTTGCGAAAGCTGTTAAGACTATCAAGGGGCTCAAGGGAACGTGGGAGGCTTCTATGGCGCCGTTGGCCAAGGTTGATGCGCCTGCTGCAACGGGAGTTGACGGGACTGGTGTCCTTGGAGCTGGGATGGGTGGCGGTGCTGGGGTTGGGGAGGTTGAGTTGGGGCAGTTTGGATTGGATTTGATGGATAATCGGTGGTTTACGGATATCTTTACGCCGTTCGACTTTTAGGGGGTTGTTGATTGGTGTGTTTAGGGTGCACCGGATAGGTTATGGATGGGACGTATCATGGGTATATATCACGGGCTGGGCTGGGCTGGGCTGGGTAAGGTTGGGTTTGGATTGTCGAGTCCGGCGTTGGTAGTGGGATGCTGTTGGGTCTGGGTTTGCATCACCGCTCCTCGATTAGTTGGGACGAGTACTTGATGTACTCTTTTGGGATATAAGTAGGAGACTGGGTGTACGAGTTTGTGTACGTCTGCTGCGTAACGTAATGAGACTGGATACCTTGAAGGAGTTGGCTCCGAAGTCTAGTGACTGTGTTTGAGTGTTGAAGAGAACACCGCAATGTCTTGAGTGAATGAGGGTCAAGGCGGGAGAAGGAGAACTTGTCGGCTTGCCAACATCCGCCGAAATCTGGCACTCGTCTATTGTGCCGTACGCTTCCTCATGCGTAATTGCCGCTGACTCTCCCACATTCGAAGAAGATCTTGACTCGGTATCGGTGGTAGTCGGCTCGATTAGTACGGTGTCTATGAGCTTCATAACCATGGGGCAGCGCCATAACGCGGGCATGCCGGACATATAGTCAACTGCTTGATGGGTTTCAAGCCCCTCCCCAGTCGCAGTCTCACTGCAAGAATCTCCCTCAAACTGTATAAATGTCTCTGTTTCTTTACGTGGTCTAGGCCGATTAGATGATCTTCAAAGTTTTGATTGAATGCTTGGCGGGGCGTTGGCCAAGGCGTGTTTTGCCCAGGATTGTTCGATGGCGCTATCGAGCGGCCCGATGTCGACATGAAATCCCACCCCCAAGTCGGCAGGGAGACCGAACAATCCCACGCGTCTTTTTCTCTCTCGCGGTTAACATCTGGAATATTTGCCCCAATTAGTGCCCTTGGATTTAATGGCGTTCAAGCTCAACGGTAACGGACTCTTTCGTTGCCCTTGCCAAGCTTTTCCTTGACGCGATGAAATGACAGCGTTCTGCTCGTGGCAGGTGCCATGGGATGGGATGATTGAATGGATAGCGCCATGGATTACGTGATTTCTTGGTAAGGCCGTTTAGAGGTGCTATATCAAGGGGATATTCAGCCAAGTCTTGTTTCCCGCAACGGTCTTCCCGTGTTCGTGTCTTGGCTATCCTATATTGGGACCATGATCCGATGGAAGGGACACCGAGAGACGAATGTAGTGACACGTTCGTACCAGACCAGATTGAAAACATTTTATCAATTAGGGCATGTTTGAGATCGAAAGCAGAGTCGTCAGGTTACGCCGGCAGGACCGACATCTCCTTGAATATCGCGAGAACCTCGCACGAAACAATCGTGGACCAATCTCTCACCTGGAGAATCCTATCTTCCTACTATAATATCCGTAGTTTCGCATGCTTCAGCTGAGTTACGACTCACTAAATACTGTAGAGGACTTCAAGGCGCGGACATCCAGCTCTCCTCAATTGCCGTTCTAGAACGTTTGGTACCGGCTACCGGATGTCGTCATTTACCCTCGGTGTTACTCCATCGCCAGCCTATCAACAACATCCACAAAATCAGTGGGACTACGCCCGCGCGGGGGTGGATTCGGCGCGGGCGATACCACGTCCCTCGCACATCCGATTTGAGCGAATCCACGGACGTTCGAGTACACTATGTACAAGTAAGAGAAGGGAGAGAAAGAGACTAGGGACAAGCCGCGGTGGAAACGCACTCTCCGCGGTGGTCCCTGGAACCCGTCCGTTCCTCTTTCCGTCCCAAGTCTTTTCTCCATTGCTGCTGGGACGTTACAATCGCGCGTCTCGGCATGTAGTGTAGGACGGGGGTGGCGACGGTTGTAAACTCGTGCTAACTTCAGCTGATGGTCCAATTGTGTGTCCAGGTCGGCCTAGCCGGCTGGATGTCGTTCAATTGGGTTCAAGGGAGCTGAGCTGACCCTCCATTGCGTGCTTCTGTGCCTCTTACTGTGGAAAGGTTGTCGAGTGCCAAGATGGTTGGTGTTGACTTGTCAAGCAACTCGAGCTAGCTTGAAGGCATGGGTAAGGGATATTGAGCCAAGAGATAATCGATTGTGTGATTTGGTACCCCCCGTTATAGTGCCTGTCGCCTGCGAACATGAGTCGGGGACGGATGGTGGGAGAGTTTCAATTGCAGTCTTGAAGAACGACGTGGGAGCGCGTATCTGTATATATGTATCCTCACGCGACCATGGCGTTCATCTAGAACTCTCCTCAAGATCGTGCCGTCACCGCTTTGGCCTCTTCGAACTCACCCGGGTCCTCATCCACGTGCCATCTGTGGCCACTCAAACCTGACCGGCCGGTCAAACCTACTATCCGCAGAACATAAGGAACGACCACCTCGACAATGGTCTTTTCGAGGCTCTTCCCGAGCGAGAAGTCGGGCGGCGCGGATTCGACTGTCCGCGCTGACCCCGAGGCCAGCGACTCTGAGCCGTCCATCATCCACGATGGTGATCTCGCGTACACCAGGGTCAAGGGAGGCAACGGCTCCAAGCCGTCGTACCAGGAGGCTGTCGGTGCTCCTGTCGAAGCTGATTCCCCGTTGGGGTACCATGTCAATTGGGTGGCCATTATTTTCCTGAATATCAATATGATGGTTGGGACTGGTGTCTTTTCTACTCGTAAGTTGGCCCAAACTCTCCATTGCTTGTGTGGCAAGGTGGTCAAGGCCAGACTATGGCTTCTCAAGAAGTACTAGATACTAATATAATCCCGGTGTAGCTGCGAGTATCCTCAACAGAACGGGCTCAATTGGGCTCGCCTTGATGTACTGGGTGATTGGCTTCCTCATGGCCTCGGCCGGTTTCAGTGTCTATCTTGAGTTGGCCAGTTACTTCCCCAACCGCAGCGGTTCGGAAGTCGTCTACTTGGAGCAGCAGTACCCCCGCCCGAAGCACTTCTTCCCCGTTGCTTTCGCGGTCCAGTCGGTGATTCTGTCGTTCAGCAGCAGTAATGCAGTCGGTTAGTGAAAGAGAGCATCCACGTCAGAGCTGGAGGAAATCGCTAACACGTGTGGCAGTTCTGTCTCGATACCTGTGGAGAATGGCTGATATTACGCCATCGGAATGGCAGATGCGAGGCGTCGCTATCGCAGCTTACACCCTGGCCGTCATCTGCGTCCTCGCACACAACAGATATTCCCTCTGGCTTGTGAACTTCATCGGCGTTCTGAAGCTTCTCACCCTTGTCTTGTTAGTTACCTACCCAACCTATAACAAACACTCCATCACAACTAACGCTCATCCTCTAGCATCTCCATAGCAGGCCTGGTAGTCCTAGGCGGCAACGTCAAACACATACCCGACCCAAAAGCAAACTTCCGCAACGCCTTCGAAGGCACAACCAGCAACGGAAACGACCTCTCCAACGCCCTCGTCAGCATCATCTTCTCGTACGCTGGCTACTACAACGCCTTCAACATGACCAACGAGATCAAGAACCCGATCCCCACGCTCAAGAAGAACGGCATCATTTCGTTGCTGACGGTCGCCATCCTCTACATGCTCTGCAACATTGCCTATTTCGCGGCCGTGCCGAAGGCCGAGTTCAAGGGCGCGAGCGAGATTGCGGCCGCGGTGTTCTTTTCAAAGTTGTTTGGCGGGAGCAAGGCTGCTGCGAATGTGTTGAATTTCTTGGTCCTGTTGAGTGCTTTTGGGAATTTGTTGGCTGTGTTGATTGGATCTTCGCGTATGATTCGTGAGATTGGCCGGTTAGTAGATACTCGTTTCGATTTGATGGAACTTTTGCTGACTTCAGGACGTAGACAAGGTGTTCTTCCATTCACCAACTTTTGGGTCTCGACTAAGCCCTTTGGAACTCCATTGGGTCCGTACATGTTGAAGTGGACAATGACCTTCATCATGATCGTCGCGCCCCCTGCTGGCGATGCCTTCTCTTTCGGTATGACCTCATCCCCAGGGATCTGCTGATCCATGCTGTGAACCCACCACTAACATCAGATGCAGTCGTCGATCTGGCTAGCTACCCCAGCGCAATCTTCAACTTCGCCATGACCTTCGGCGTCTTCGTCCTCAGACGACGTCGTCAGCGCTCCGGCATCAGTCGCTCCGAGTTCCGCGCCTGGGACTTTGTCGTCCTCTTCTTCCTCGCCATCCAAGTCTTTGTCTTGGCGATGCCGTGGTGGCCGCCAAAAGGTGGCCCGTACGCGGGAAGCGTCAGCTTTTGGTACGCCACGTACTGTGTCGTGGGTATTGGAATGTGAGTAAACCCTTATTCAAATGTGAAACCAAAGTACACGGAAACCCGCTGACTTGTTCTGCGTTCTGCTAGCATTCTCCTCTGCATTCTGTACTACGTCTTCTGGATGTATGTCCTCCCTCGCTGGTTGGGATACGAGATCCGCACGGAGATTGTCGAGGTCGATTCCAACGGCGCCAACACGCATCGCCTGGTCAGAGTTCCCAAGGCCGAAGTTGCTGCGTGGGATGAGGTGCATGACGAGGCTGGCAATTTGAGGCGGCGACACGTTAGTACCGAGCTTGATTCGGGCAACTCCAACGAGAAGGGGCTTTGAGTCTGGTTTTGGGACACAAGGACGTTTGGCTAGCCTGAGGGTAGAAAATCATGCTACCCAGGTTTGCTTAGGGTCTACCCAATCAGGGCTCCAGGGGACGGGGATGATATTGGTGTAGTTATGTAACTTGGTAGTGGAGAGGTAACTCTATATATCAATGTCACTCATTGGAGTGCCACCTAGCACACGAACTAGTTTAGAGTCCGAATAAAATTGCTCTTATTGTGCATCAAGAGGGTCACTATACTTACAAAAATGACCTCACTCTTCACGTCAATGATACCACCTGTTGGACCACGAGTAGGCCCATGTTTGAAGCGAAAGTATTGGAGGATGTCAGCAAAAAGATATCCTCAAGGCTGAGCATACCTTCCTTTAGTCAAGAAAGGGGCCAAACGCAGTCGCTCCAAATGGAGTCAATCGTATATTCTCATCCCACCTTTGCTGGGAATATGAACGAATTAGCACCGGCCGTGCTGCCCTGTCCGCATGTTCTCAACGTTGGATATGCACTTCCGTCGTCCTCATGATACCCTTATTATCTCCAAAACCATGCCCAGTCTCCAGGATCAACTCTTCACTCCCCGACCTGTCGCCAAAGCTGTTCTTCTTCTGGTACACAGCCACTGCCGCCGGGGTATTATTTCCACCTTCGATGGTCGTACGGTAGAACTCTGGGCTTGGTGAAAACGGCCCGTCCTCGAGTTCATAGTCTGGTGCCCCCTGGCTTCCCTGTTCCCTGTAGCCCTGCCTTCGAGCGGTGCCCGTGGTGATGTTCCCCGTTCTACCGGATCTTCCAGTCGGGTATCGGTTTTCGTAGAGGTTGTCGCTGTTGTAGTGACGGCTCGATGAGATCTTGAGGGCGCGGCCGACGAGGGGTTTTAATGCTGGTGCGCAGGCGGCGATGATGCCGAGGTTGAGTTGCAGGCTATAGGAAAGACCGTTAGGTTAACATTGTTTCAGTTCGTGAAACATTCGGACAACTTACAAGCCCCAGAATTGGATACTTTGGAGACTAGAATCACTCTTCAGTAATGTTTCTTGTCAGCAATACCTTTGAGGACTTACAAGGTTCCGTCTTTGCTGCTCGGTTGCGCAATCTGATAGATGGCCTTGATGATACCCATGATAACAGCTCTGGAATGAGTTAGCCCCGATACGCACCCCTTGTGTCGAATGGAGCAAAACTTACAAGTATCCTAGACTAAGTACGACAATTAGATACACCCGTGTGCGCAACTTCATCTGCAAGATCCAAATGATGGGAATAGGCAGAGATGCGAAACAGACATCGGTAAAGATGTTGAACGCTGGGCTGAATTAGCTTCTAAAGCAATGCGAAAGGATGAGTATGTCGGCTCACCAGTATTGACCAGCGCGAAATTGACGAACAACTTGATGTTGTAACACTTTGGCTTGAGGCTCTTGTCCCAATATCCCTCCATCGGGCTGCAATACAAGAAGAAGCTAAGCCATGCCATGATTGTATAAAGCACGACGAACACTAATGATATGTTAGAAAGATTCAGGCAGTCCACACTGAGTAGGTATGGATAGACATTGTACCAATCAAAGCCCATAGTGATCTCGAGTACCACTTATTCTTGCTTAGACGTAGCAGCGATAGTGCGATTGAGATCTTCAGAAACGCCAGGGCAGCGATGGCGGATATGATTGATTGAAAGAAGCCAACCTTGGAAAAGAAGACTTGATCTGGCTTGCTGATTGTGTCTTTGTGTCTGCCGAGTCCGTAAAACGCTTGAATAATGAAGATCACCATACCTCCACCCAGCGCACAGAGCTGGTCAAAGTCAGCATGGCCACCCTTGTCATAGTACTATGGCAACCTAGTATCCTGGATCGTACCGCAGACATGATCATCATGTAATCATCGATACCTATCGTCTTCACAATAGCGGCGCGGGTATACGTTCGGAGGACGACGAAGACGAGAGCGAGCGCGTGGAAAGCCCCCGTCACGGCCAGGATCATGGCCGTATTGCTTTCCTTGGCACGCTCCGGGTCGACGGCCGTTGTGCTGGACGTCGAAGACATTGCGGCAGATGACGCGGCTGCGCGGCGTCAAGCAGACGCACAGATGGTCAGAGGAGAGTCGAAGAAAGTCACAAAGTTTCGAGAAAGTGGACACTGAGTAGCGAGGGGATCAGCGGGTTCTTTTAAGCATCTTGCTTTTCCAATTTAGTACTCCATATTGGGGACTCATAATCTATTCTGTAGGAAGAAAGGAACTGGATAGATGAAACCCGATCCACGGGGGCCACACTGCAGTAACCACGCACGCGGTACGGACGGGGCTTTCGGGAGGGATATGGATACAAGGACCTCAATCATCACGCAACGGGGAGCTGGTAACTGTAAAAGCAATCATCATTGGATGATGGAATCGGACTTTGTCAAAAGGGGCAATCTTCGTGCTGCCACTCCTGTCTGCCTCGGGAAGGTGATGTGCTTTGCCTTTCTAGACTGCGTTCCAGAGCAGGGAGGCTGATCCGTCCCTATCAGCCCATTCGGCCTAGAATTTGGCACCGAGGTAGCGAAGTGACCGCACCATTGACTCTTTTCTTCGAGAATTCTGTACCGGAGTTTTCCTTGTAGAGAAGTGGGTCGACGGATTTAATGTGCTGCACAGTTTGCACCTGCAGGATCGCCTAAGCAGGTGGTGGGCAGGATGTAGAATGAAAAGAGTGTTCAGGATCTCCCGGGGGCCACATGGATGCCTCCCACATTACGTGCCACCTTGTTGCAGTGCCGCGAGCGTCACTAGGTGCTTCAACGCAGCAGCAAGCAAGAAAACGCCGCGAACTTGCCCCTAAGTTGTCAATACGGACAACGATTAACACAACGAAGCTTCCGAGCACAGATATCTTCAGCAATTTGCCTGAAATTGTTTGTTGGTGAGGAGCGGCATCAAGGAGCGATATTGATCCTGCCACCCCAATCGGGCAGCAGCAATTCGTAAGTCCTCCAAGCCACCCTGGAAAAGTGTATCGCGCTGTCGGCGCGGGAAAAAAAGAGGAGAAAATACTGGGTTTCGGTGTCGGCCATCGAACCGAAGAGGGAATCTCTGCATGATACCCGGTTGAAGAACCTAGCGGCACAGGAAAAAGGGAAGAAATAAACCACCGGGGCATTGTTGTTAGCGGCATCGGGTGGGAGACGCGGAGGGTGTCACCGACCCGTGGAAGGATCTAGTGGCCTGCCAGTCGGAAGACATGGCATGCATGCCAAGATTATAATGGGACAGTGGAAATCACATAGAGATGTTGAACAAACCACCATACGATCTATCCGGATCGGTTGGTCACCCTCGAGATGGCGAGCGGAACTCTGTGGAGTCGGACGGTGGTCGACCAGCTGGACACTGTCTGTTACAATTTACTGTTGCATGCGGGCAGTTGGGACGAACATATTGTTTTCCGAACCTTTTTTTTGACTTTTAAGCTTATGGAGCTCTAAGAGCGTGTATGATGCCGCACAGATTCGGCCCACGGAACAAGGTGATTCCAGTTTGTCTTAGTCCTAGTACTAAGTCTTTGGCTCATTATCATCGTAAACCCATTCTGAGTTAACAAATCTTATCTTCAACTTGCCGTCTTCCCGAAGCCAGTTGCCGTTTAATATCCGCCACTTTGAACTTGTGGCGAGTTGGCGACCGACGGCAACGCATCTCCCCTGTCACCCGTCCACCGGCCGGCTCCGCGCTTGGCCTAAAGAAGGTTACATTCTTCATCCCAGCATCGTGGGCCCCGGATCTGGGCAATCGAGTATTGGACTTTTCCAGTTTCTGGCTGCCCTATCCACAGTGTCACAGCATAAAAACCGTTCGATTAGTGACCCCTCTTCATAATTCTCTTCAATGATTCTTTGCCCCTGGCAATGGATACTAGGACCATGCTTCCCGCCAACAGCGGCGGCGTTGTTGGAGCATTCCCGCTGCCCAGTGCGGTTACCATCTCCGTCCCGCGGATCCGAAGCCCTGCAGGCCACCACGGTTGGGGGCACTAGTGCAGACAACGGGATTTTTAATTTATTCCCAACGTCGAACAGGCATCTATCTATATAGCTAACGAGATCTGTCTGGTGGTTGATTCTCTTGTGACTGTTCCGGACCGTCCTGTCCGCTCCCACTTCCCACTTGACCTTGCGCACCTCTAGTGGAAATCCTATCCAGTTCTCTCTGAGTGTTGACGTGCCTCGGACCACAGCTCTCTCTCTCTCTCTCTCTCTCTCTCTCTCTCTCTCAGTTCCTTGCTTGCGCACGCGGCTACCCTGCATTCTAATTATTCCATCTTGAACAAACAAGAACTTTCAGCAATGCTTCCCCTCACTGTTGCGGCTGCGGCCGTGGGCTTGCTGATGGCGCCGGTCATGGCCTCGCCCATCGAGACTGGCGATGTTCTCGCCGAACTCCAGGATAAGGCTATGAGTACTCTGACCGCATCGAGCGCGGGTAACAAGCGCAGTAGCTGCAACATTTTCAATGCTCGTTACCGTCGGGACTGGTTCGTCACTCCCCCACCATTACAGTGTCGATCTCGAATTGAAAGCTGACCCGTCTTCAAGGGAGGCGTTTTCTTCCCAAGAGAGGAAAGACTACATCAGTGCCGTCCAGTGCCTATTAACATCGCCTTCCAAGTCGGACCCCGAATTCGCTCCCGGTGCTCGCAACCGTTACGATGACTTCGTTGCCGTGCACATCAACCAGACAACTAAGATCCACGGAACTGTGAGTAATACCCACACTCATGACAAATCGTGTCGCGATCTAACATGGCAATTCAGGGCAACTTCTTGACATGGCACCGCTACTTTGTCTGGGCGTACGAAGAGGCTCTGCGGAACGAATGCGGCTACAAGGGCTCCCAGCCAGTAAGTGGATTCTATTACCATGAACGGGAGATCTTCCAATGGGTCTGACAATTACATTACAGTACTGGAACTGGTTAAAGTACCAGGACGATCTCCGAAAATCCCCTGTCTTTGATGGCAGCGATACCAGCTTGAGCGGCGACGGCGCCTTTCTCCAGCACAACGGCAGCGTCAGCGGTGCAGGTGCCATTGTCCTGCCTTCTGGCGATGGGGGTGGCTGTGTCACGAGCGGTCCTTTTAAGAAGTAAGCTTCCCTCGTACATATTCGCACCGCTGCATTGATGATTAACATCCACCTAGCATGACCGTCAACCTTGGTCCGGTTAACCCCGGCATGGACGGCCTTGAGGCCAGCCCGACCGGCAAGCTTGGCTACAACCCTCGCTGCCTTAGTCGCGATATGAGCAACTACACGGCCTCAACCTGGTTCACGAACGAGAACATGCTCAACATCACGGTAGGCGCGGCCTCCAAGAGCATAGAGCTTTTCCAGAACGAGCTTCAGGGCCGTTTCTCTGACGGCTTCCTCGGCATGCACGCGTCCGGCCACTTCTCCGTCAACGGCGAAGCTAGCGATCTGTACTCCTCACCCGTCGACCCCAGCTTTTTTCTGCACCATGCCATGGTTGACCGCGTATATTGGCTGTGGCAGGCCCTCCACCTGTGGGACGCTTTCAACATTGCTGGTACAATTACCATCAACAACAGGCCGGCTAGCAGGGACGCACTGAAGACTGATATCCTTGACCTTGGCGTCAATGCTGAGAACCGCACTATCGACGAGGTCTTGAACACTATCGGCGGTTCTCCTCTTTGCTACGTCTACGTATGAGTCTAGGGATGATTCTCGTTTGGAGTTTGGACTGCATGTGGTCAAGAGATGCCCACAAGTACCACGATAATAGCTAGAGTAGGTCCAGTGCATTGCCAACCAGGACCATTGTACATACAAGGCTCTTCTATGTAATAATTGCACCATCGATTCAAAAGCAAATTTAGGGATTGGCCGCCGTAACGTCGTCATCCTCAAAAGAGCTTTTGCCGAGACTCATAAGAGACGTCTCTCTTAAGCACGTCTCAACTCAATACATGGGTGAAACCACATGATGATTATTGCCTATCTGTCGATGAGTCGAGTTGATGTCATGGTTCTTCGGTATGAACTCTGATACTCAGTTGAAGTGTGGAAGCCGCTAGTGATATTATGGGTGGAGTCTTGACATGGCTTAGCCCTCAATGATCCACGCACAACTCACGATGCGGCATCTTGGACCTCCAGCCGCTGGTAACGATCACACACCTTCAATAGCCTGCCCGGCTAGCTCAATCGGTAGAGCGTGAGACTCTTAATCTCAAGGTTGTGGGTTCGACCCGTAAGTCCATCTCGACACCCAGGAACTAATCTAAGTTCAATGTCTAACATCTCATAGCCACGTCGGGCTCAATTCCCGTCAGCGATTGACTGAAATACTTCTTTTTTGATTATATTCTATTTCAGGTTTCATCTCTTTCTGTGCTGACGCTAATTTACCGTTGCGATTGGCTCTCCAGCTTACCTACTCGTATTGACGCAGCGAACTGTCCTTCAACAGCCGGTCCATGGCACTTCGCTGCATACATACACTCACATCAAAGTCACCAGTGTAGGCAACATCCATGATCTGAACCAAGCCATCAATCTTTGGCATGACGCCCTGGACATACCGAGCTAACTCCCCCGTGCCCAGGAAGTCAAGCTCGTAGGTTTTGGCTCTCACCCAGGATGTCACGAGGGTGTGATGAGTTCCCAAGAAACCTTGCCACAACCGCTGAGGGCTGACCTCGTGTGCGGCGTCATGGATGTAAGCTGCAACCGCATCTGGCGTGAAGCGAGACATCATCTGCCTGATAGCGCCGGCGATAGGCCCAAGATGGATTGAGCTCGCTTCGTTGGCGGTTTTCTCAACATACCCTAGAAGGAGAGGAGATCCAACAAAAGTGTCTGGTAAGGGTGGATCGACGCGATTTCGAAGACCCAAGGTGATGTTCAGATATGCTTGTTCAGGTTTTCCTTCATGGCCGCGCGCACGGTTCATCAAAGTCCAGATGTGGGCCAGAACTGCATCGAGCCGGGAGACTCGGAGTGATTGCAGGTCGTCCGGCAGGCTTGCTTGTGCAGCTTCCTT